TGCCAAGGAAAACGCTATTTAACCTTGTGATTTAGGCTTAGAAATTCTGGAAAACATTAATAGCCTTTGAGGAACAAAATTGCTAAACGCTTGGAAAAAGCATGGTCCACAAAGTAAAATCATCAAAACTACAATACAAATAATTATAAGATTCTTCCACCAATCACTCTTAAACCAGGAAAGAATTGTACTTAAAACCGAAGGATCAGGATCAGCCATAGTGTCTACTTGTTTTTGAATATCCATTACAGCCTGAGATACATTTCCTGATAAATTAGGAATAAAAACGCAGCATTCTATCTTAATTATAGCGCACGTCCCGCCTTGAGCTGCAGTAAGAATATCTAAAGCCATGCGGTTCTGTAGAACTGTTTTTTCCATCTGTTTTTGTTCTTCATTTAAATCTTCTATTGCTTTCTTAGTATCTATTAATGCTTGCTGAGTAAAATTAGTAAGCGCATCAAATTTTAACATAATATCTGTATTCCCCAAAGAAGGTACAAAAACTGCAGCAAGATAATCATACCATTTAAAAACAGAACTAGACCATCTAGCATGTAGGTATGGGAGATTCGCAGGAATGCCAGAAATTGTTTGTTTAATTCTTCCAGGAGCGAATACAAAACCAAGAGTACAACGCCCAACCCATCCAATAGGAAGCCAGGGCCAAAGATATCTTCCACAAACCCATTTCGTTCCATTTGGGGCTACCCATCGGATTCCTGGATTCAAAAGCCAATCAGATCCTGGCCAAGAAACAGACTTATTAGGAGAAAATGTTACATCAATAATTTGTTTACACAAAGATGGTGTTACATGTCCCATTGGCTTCAAATCAGTACTATTCAATGGCTGATTTCTGTATCCTATCTTATGTTCTTTTAGCTCCCAGCAAATAGGTGCTGCTGCAACCTATTGTCCATTCTCAGGAGTCATCCAAAAGTATTCATCCCAAATTTGATAGAAGTCTCCCTGATATCGAGCAGCTTCACGCTTCTTGGGCCTGTTATCCTTTTTGGAACCATCAAGATTGGAATTATAAGCTTTTGTTATGATATCATAACTTCTATTAATATTAAAAGCATGTTAGAACTAATGCCCACATCTTTGCACCAGGATAAGTGTGAAATATTATGATTATGGAGACTAATATACATTTCTTTTTGCTGAGTAAGAAAACTACATAAAGCAGGCAAATTATTTTTTGCAATAGGTAAAATCCACCAAGGCAACCCTCCAACTGAGAGGGGCATAGCTCCGCAGACCCAGCAATTAGAAGAATTATAAAAATCAGCGTAAGAATGTGCCCAAGAGAGAAATACATTGCCATGAGCAGTGGGAAAATGCGTATTCATAATAGCACAGGCCAAGCCCAAAACTAGAAACATCAGAGAGGTTTTAGGTTGTTTCGTGGTTCCAGCAATCTCATTCGCCTGTTGAATCAGGCTCTGCAGTTGCTTCCTCGTCGGTAGGGGGTGTTTGTCCTCCAGGGTTAATGCCTTCATTTTTCGGATGAGAGACTTCCTCCGCAGTGCGTACCAGCCTCTCCGGTAACCAGCGCGGTGCTTCGGCATCCTGGGGAAAAACACAAACATGGCCTCGACCCCATATTAACACAGGGTCGGGTCCTTTCCATATTCCAGTTATAGGATCCTTCCACCGTACTAAAGGTTTCTGCTTATTACTATTATCATTAGCCCAGAACCTTTGTGCGGCAGATGCTCCTTCTGAGCCCAGTTGTAAAAAATTTAAAATAAAGAGGGCATGGTTTAGATAATTTTGGGGGTTCCTGGATATAATTCTTCCTTTTTTATTTTATGTAATTGATTTTTAAGGGTTTGATGGCTTTTTTCTACAACATCTTGTCCCTGTGGGTTGTAAGGGATTTTTGTTTTATGACATATATCTAGGCGGGCACAAAAAAGTTGAAAAGCTTTTTCCGTACAACTAGGGCCATTATCTGTTTTTATTATTTTTGGGATTTTCAT